GAGTCAACAACAATCCTGTTTGCCTAACGCTTCTCTCCTCCTTCCTGCCCCAACCTCTGCTCCCTCCCTCCCCAACCCTTCCTCTTTCCCTCCCATCGCCATTCTTCCTTCGTCCCCAACTCTCTCCCCGACTCCTCTCTTCCTCATCCCTATCTATCCTTTCTACATCATCATCTTACCCCCTACCCCCTTTTCCCCAACACCCCTACCCTGCTATCCTCCTTCCCCATCCTACTGTCATCCCCCTTCCTCCCGGCCCATTAAACCCTTTCCCCATTCATTCCCTCTTCCTTTCCCCGACTACCCTTATCCTCACGCTCTTCTTTTCCTTTTTTCTTTTCTTGTCCTCCCCACCATTCCTTACAACCCGCTCCTTCCCCTCTCACGTTCCTCAATCATACCATCCTTACCCCCCTTCCCCCTGTCCTATCTCCTCTTCTCCTAGTTCCCTTTCCAACTCAATTCCCTCACCTTCCTGCTCCCCATTTCCCCTCCTCCCTAACCCCTCCCTCAACGTCGGAGCCGCATACCCCAATTCTCATCCCCAGTCCCTCGCTCCCCATTCCCCGAGTTTCCCGATATATCCACTTCGCAGACCCTCCCCCTCTCCCTTCCCCCCCGTCCCCTCTTCTACTCTCCCTAGTTCTCCCAACCCCCAACAGCTGGACCAAAGTCGGGTCGGCACATCAGCATTCTCACACCCCTCCCCCCCATTACTCCATGTGCACCGCTCCTAAGCCCTACTTCTCCCCCTCCCCCATTCTCTCTCCCAACCCCCTCCCTCTTCCTCCGTCCTAACCCCTAACCCCTATCCCCTATCCCACCCACCCCACCCCAACTCCCTCCTTCCTCCCCCTTTCCCCACCCAACCCTTGTTCTCCTCTTTCCCTTTTCCCTCCAACCCCCCACCCTTTCTTCTTCCCACCCTTCTCCCCTTTCCCTCTCCCCTTCCCTCACCCTTCCACTCCCCAACTCCCTTCACCCTTCCACCCCCACCCCTTCTTCCCTCCCTCTCATCCCCTCCCTTTCTTCTCCTCCACCTCCCCCTCTCCCCCCATCCATCTTCTCTCCACCTCCTCTCACCCTCCCACCCCAACCCCTCTCCACCCCAACCCCTCTCTCCTCCCTCCCTCCCCCCCCTCCCCTCCCTTCCCTTCTCCCTCTCACCCTCCCACCCCAACCCCTCTCCTCACCCCCCACCCATCCACCATCCCTCCCTCCCTCCCTCCCACCCCAACCCCTCTTCCTCACCCCCCACCCACCCATATCTCCCCCCCTCCCCCTCAACAGCTGGACAGCCGCCGCACCATCTCCAGCCACGTGTGTAGCGATACCGTACCGTACCTGCCCGCCATCCCGTTTGTTATGCCTCTGTTCTGCCTCTTGTCTCGCGGTCCTGTTCTTTTTTTACGGACTGTGAAGATAATGATGATGATGATGATGATGATGAGGGAGATGGTGATGATATGGGTCCTTTGTAAGCAGATGGGGCTGGCGTGTCTCCTTGGTTGGCTTGTTTGGTTTCTTTGATTGGTTTGTTTGTTCTTAGTTTTATGCGTGTCTTCGTGCTGGGATCATGTTCTCTATTTGTTTGTAGGTCTGTTTACCTATTGTCTTTTTCCTTGTTTGTGTAAGTCTCAAAGTTATAGTCGATTGTCATTTTTGTTAAAAACATGAAAGGACATGAAACAATTGATAAAGAAAATATGTTCCTTCGCTAATGCAATATATCATATCATCGACAGATTTAACCAAATTTCCTACCACTATATTACCTGTAAAAAATGTAAAACAACGAACACACAAAAAGGACGGGATAAAAGAATCTTTACGTATGAAACAACAAAACGCAGATTAAAGACATTTAGATTTTGCGAAACGAAGCGAAAACTGAGTCTTCAAAAGTGCCACAAAACCGAACACAAAAAACGTTTCCAAACAAAGTGAAAAAACAACCCTCAGTAAGATAAACGTTCCCTTCCCTCTAACAACAAAGCCAATTAACAAACCAATTATCCAACGCTCATCATCCGCCTAGTTAATTAAGCCTAATTAGTGCGTCAAAAATAATAATAATAAAAAATCATATTCCTTGTCAGAGCGGAGGAGACCCGAGAGGAGATAATTAAATCCTTTTGTTCTTTCCCTTTTGTCCACTTTTCTCTTTGTCTATTTTTCTTTCATCGGTTGACTGAAAACACGTTCTTAATTTTCCTTTTAAGCAATCATTTCTTTTACCATTCTCCATATTACATAATATTCACTTTTTCCCGATTTTCCTTTTAATTTCCTGTTAATTTTTATTCCATCTTCACTATCTTTCCACTTCCCCCGCACTGTCTTCACATATTTTACTGATCTTCACCTCCATCTGTCGATTTTTCTGCATTTCTTCTTTCTCATCCTAACGATCGCTTGATTCCTTTTCCTCTTCTTCGTCACCGCTCCTTCCGTAATTATTCCCCCTTCTAGTGGCTCCCTTGTTCCCGTGTTCTCTTATGTTCCTGTTTCATTACCGACATTCCTTTTCTTCCTTCCTTTCCTTCCTATTCTCCATTCTCTCTCTCTTCCTCTTTGTTTTCAGAAGTTTCTCGGCTCCATTCCTCCAGCCTTCCTTTCCTCCATTTTACAAACCCACTTTCCCGTTCTCTTGCTATCTCTTGCTAATCATATCACAACGTATATTATCATCTTCAACTTCCTCTGGCAACATGTTCTCGCGTCATCCTTTGCCTCTCCTCCTTTCCTCCTCCTCACCTCCTCTCCTCCTCCTCTCCTTTCTCTCCCCCTCTTCCATCTTCCCTTCGTCAACATTTCAGTAATAAAACTCTCTCTTTTGCACAATATCCTATTGCAATCCCATAATACCAGTGTGTGTGTGTGTCGATGGACGCCATTCCCTTACAATCTGCTCTCCATCTCTCTTTCTCTCTCTGTCTCTCCCTCCATTTCTCCCTCTGCTTCCATTTCCCCCCTACATCATCTCTACCACCTTTGTTACCACTCCTCCTTTCCTTCTTCTTTCCCTCCTTCCATCTAAAAATCCCCCCCCCCCATTCCATAACACCTTCCTATCTCACTCCCCTCCAACCTCTCCTTCCTCCCTTCCTTTCCCCTCCCTCCTCCTTCCCTACCTCCCTCCCTTCTCTCTTTCCCTCTTTTCCCCTCCCCTCACCACCCTCTCCCCCCTCCCTTCTTTTCCCCTTCCTTCTCCATCCTCTCTTTCCCTCCCTTCCTTTTCCCTTCCCTCTCCCTCCCTCCTCCTTCCCCCTCCCTTTCCCCTTTCCCCTTCCCCTTCCCTCTTCCTCCCCTCTCCCTCCCTCCCCTCTCCACCCTCCCCTCCTCTCCCTCTCCCCCTCTCTCACGGAAGAGAATCGTTCCGGAAGTCGTGTTTTCAGTATCGGTAACCGGACTGACGCTGAATTAGTTATGCTTGGCTGCGCACGCCGGTTATTACGCATACCCTCCCCACCCCTCTCCAGCCCCCTCCGACCCCATCCTATCCCCAATCGGAATTCCAACCTCAACTCTCCCCACCCCTACCCCACCTCCCAACCCCAAAAACCTCCAACAACCTCCACTAACCCCACCCCTTCCCCACCTCTCCTCTAACACCTTCCCCATTACACCCCACCTCCTTCCTCACGTTTCCTTCAACACATCCTCAGAGCCCCCTACCACCCTTCCCCACCATTCCGTCACCACATCCAAACAGCCCCCTATCCCCACTCCCACCCCTCCAACCTCCCTTCTCCCCACCTCTTTCCGTCCATCTAAATACCTCGGTCCCGATCTGGTTCACCTCTTCCTGATGTGTACTTCTTTAATTTGTTTTAATGCTCTCTCCATCTACTCCTTCCGTACACTGTTTGTTTTGCTTTTATTTTCTCCTCTCATTCTCCTTCTACAAAATGTTTTTCTTTCAAACGTCCTTTTTGCTTCAACTGCCCATTGCCATTACTATTCTACACTCTTTTCTTTTAAAAGTTACGTCTGTCTTTGTTTTCGTTTCAATTTCACTTCAATTACTTATTCCACTCTTTTTCCTCATCTTGTTCTTATTTTTCGATACCTTTTCAAAGTCTTTTGAATCTAAATTCCACCTGCTTTTGCTACTCAATCCTAATATAGTTATTTCTTTCCTATTTGTTTCTGCTGTTCCTTACAATACTGTTCATTTTCCCATTTTTATTTCTTCATCTTGTACTTCCACCTTTCTAAAGCTTTTTTTCTATCCAGTCTTTCCTCTTCTTTTTTCCTTAACATTTTTTCTTCTACACCTCCATTTCTGCCTTTCCTTTCCCACTACCTCTTATTATCAGTTCTCATTTCCCCCTTATTCCCTTTGTTTTTCCATTATCTTTTTTTTTCTCTCTCCTCTCTAACAAGGTGTTTCTCCTCATTTTAAGGCTCCTTCTTTTACACTAAAGCCTATGGCAGTTTTGCAAAACATTTATTTATAAAAATAAATAAATCAAGTACACCTTATATAACACACTTGTAAAATATTTATCTATAAACTTTGATAAGGAAATATGTATCTGAAGGACAGAACACGCAAATGGAAGCAAGATATCAATCTCAAAACAACAAAAGAAGACATTCCAGTATATAAAGAACCCTTGAAAGCAAACAGGAAAATATGTTGCATTTCTTAGAATACCCTTGCTATCTTCTAGAGCAGAGAAAACATATTGCTAATAAACACTTCACATTCATCCTACAGAAAAAAAAGATGAGAAGCCATAACACCCAAAATCATATTTCTATAATAATCCCACAGTCAAACTTGACAAAAGCTATAAGCATATGAGCCTACATAGAGATAGAGATAAAGGCACAGAAAAAGACCTTGAAAAAAATGATAAAATAAAAATAAACATATACAAAATAAATCTTAATGGAAACAACCCTCCCTCTTGCCCCTTGAAAAACAATCAAGACCACCTGAAGTCAAACCTAAAAAAATAAGAAAGTCGAAAAGCCACTCCAACACTCACTCATGAACTCCTGGATGCGGTTATTCTGAGGCTCTGAATCGGCGATGGATTTGCGCAGGCGATTCAAGTCGTCCTTCAGCTTGGCATTCTCCATCTCCAACTCCTGAAGCTGTAAGGCAAAGAAGGAAAGGGGATGAGTATGAGGGCAATGGTCTAGGTTATACGTCTCTGCAACCATGGGGATGATAGGCTGCTGGATTTTAGAGCGCAGAAAAGCTATGGCTGTGACTTTCTTTCTCATCCATTAATACACTCACTCACTCACTCACTCACTCACTCACTCACTCACTCACTCACTCACTCAATCTCTATGCTATCTCTATCTCTCTATCTCTAATCTATCTATCTCTAATCTCTATCTCTATCTCTATCTATCTCTATCTATCTCTATCTCTATCTATCTCTATCTCATTCATTATCATTAATCTATCATTTATAGACTCACTCACTGATTTATTGACACACTCTCTGATTTACTGACTAACTCTCCTCTCATCACCTAATTTCTTTTAACCACATCTCATCTCTTTATAGCATCTCATCTCATCATATCTCATTATCTTATCTAATAACACTCATTCATTTGTTCCTTTTCTAATTCATCCACTACCTTACTCACTCCTACAAATCACTAATTTTCATACAGAATAACAAATTGTCATCCTTACATAAAATCGGGCACTTAATTCTCTCAATTAACCTTTCATCTTCAATCTTGGGCAATAACAACATGTCTCACACCTTACAAGGTACTGGGTTAAAGACCCATAAAAAATACACATAGCTCAGCAAGAGAGAGTCAATTTTCATGCAGCAAAATGTAGCCTGGAAGTTATTTCTAAAAATTCATTATGACAAAATCTGAAAAAGGTATGCATGAGAATGAATGTCCTGATAGGGCAAGAGATGTATTTGAAACATCTCAATGAATTAATTTTTGATGTATTTCTGATGAACTAAGTGAATAGCATCAAATACATCTCTCACACTGTGAAGATACTCATTCTGATTTATCCCCTTTTCTGCACATTATTCCCAAAAAGCTGTTCTTTAGAAGCCACACACTGGATAACATGAAGCATCAATGAAAAAACTAAGCTCAAGCATGACCAGGAAAAAATATAAACATGTTTCAGTCTAACATGACACAACCTAATATAAACACTGATAAATAAATATTTCTTCCCAGAATGTTTGGGAGGGGAGTCAAACGACAGAACGGGGTTAAGAAAACCTAGTAAGATTTTACTTTGTCTCAAGAGATTACACTCATATCTACAGTCCATGGAAGTCGAAATCTCTCTCTAAAAAAATACCTAATTATTCTATATACCACAAAAATAAATAAGAAAAAGAAATACTATAGTAGACATTTTTTACGGACCTCTCAAATTGCATGATTTTCCTTTCACACAAATCTCCAATATGAAAAAAACTAACTTACCTTTCCAAAAATCACATTCTATACTTCCTCCTCAAGCTCTGATTCATCCCCATAACAAAAATAACAAATACTCAACAACAGTAAGTTATAGAACATGACCTAGCCCCAAACTTTTTCCTGATTCTTGTACATTAAGAACAGTAAGAATGGATATTCATTCTGAAATGCCACATTGCTGTGAAATTACTTGGTTTCTTTTGTAGCAGGACAACATACACACAATAGAACTACACTCTTCTGGCTCCTCTAGTCTACAGCCGCTCTCTAGTCTGCAGTGCAAGGCCTACCCGTATTAACTCCTGTGCATGCTGCGAGTCGTCCAAGGGCGAGGACGAATTTTCTAGCTGGTCTATGCGCTTAGCCATTGTCCGCCGCTCCTTTTCTAACTCACGCACTTTGTTTTGCAGTTGTAGAACCAGGGTGATGTCCTCCACCTAGATCCAGATCACCATAGAGGAAACACCATGCAGCAAGAGGGTGTTGCACAAAGAGGAGGAAGGGGGGTTAGTTAGGTAAGAGAGATTGTGTGTGTGTAGAGGGGAGGAAAATAACAAACCCTTCTCTTTTGGGAAGTTTTGTTACTTCAAAATTTTTGTTTTGGCACATACCATAACGATTCCCATTCATGACTGAATGAACAGTAGTTCCATGCTTAGAAAAAAAAACAGTAACAATGCTCACACCAAAAGCCCAATGACCATAAAGAACTGAGAATCGCTATAATATGTGCTAAACTATTTCATGCATTACTCATTATTTTCCTAGGGGCTTAACCCTCTTGTTATTAAAGGTTCAAGTCACCAAGAAGTCTTCAAGATGAATTAGGAGCAAAGTACAGACACTTTAAGGAGAAAGATTACATGTTCCACACTAAAGGTAAAAGCTATGAGAAACATCAGCTTTTTTGTTTAACATCACACGTGTTTTTTCTTCTTTTTTAGGTATTATTTATTTTATGCTACTATGAAGACAGTTAAGTATGTATTTTTAAAAATCTAATTTCTTTTCTTTTTACTTTGATTTTTGTAACTAAAAATTTGCAGTGTGAATATAAAGTTGATAGAGAAGCTATTCATTGCGAATGAAAGCTCAACCTTCATGCAGATCAAAGCATTTAAAAAAAGCATCAGAATTGCCAATTCCCAAAAAAGTCAAACAAGCAAAATATATCACTTTAGAATTACTGTTTTCTGAAGTTTACAACCAAAAACAACATAACCTGCTGTTGTTTTTCATAAGTTATAGGAAAGATGACTAAACTTGATATTAACTTTTAAAATCTCTGTCACCAAAAACTAACTACCTTGACTACCAATATTTTTTAGATAGAAAGTGAAAAATTAAAACAAATATCTCAGGAACTACCAACCATTTTTTCCTACAATTTTTTAAACATGGTTTGAAAAGTCCAAATATAAAAGGGGTTTGGTACAACAATATCTTATGATTTTACACAAATATAAAAAACTACAATAAAGATAAAGTGGTTCATTTAGAGTGAAAATTGCTTTCTACATGAATCTGGTGCTTTATATCTGTACTAAGAATAGACTCTTCACACCATAATCACAAATCTATCACAAATATGAAACTACAAAAGAACACAAGATACTAATTATACTTCTACAAAAAATAAAAGGATAAAATCAAACAAAGAAAAATTAGGGTAAAAATGAAAGTAATGAGGAAGGATGAAAGACACTAAACACAGATAAATCCTTCATCAACCTACCTTCTCTGGCACAGGAATCCTGATTTCTGAAGTGTCACCCTTCTGAGGTGAACCCCAATCAATCGACTCGAGGTTTCTACTATTGTCAGATGCTTCGCTCGCTCGACTGCGGACTGAGCCATATCCCACATCCTGAAAAGAAGGATTCACTGAATGAGTCATTTGCAATACCAAAAAGGAATATGTGCAGTTAGTAGTACCTGAATCACAGGTCATTTGTAAGTTAATGAAAAGCTTAAATATTTTCTATTGACAAAATGTTGCAAAAAGTTGATATACGTAAGCAGATAAAAACGGTTACGTATAAAAAAGTAAAAAATGCAAGCACTTCTGCCTTACACTTGTTGAAGACATTCATTAGAGCTGTTACACTGTTACAATTTTAATAGATGTGTTTCTTAGCTAAATGAGCAAAGATACACTGTGGCTCAAGGTATAAGCAATACACTAAGCATTGTGGTCAGAAACAGCCAAAAATATTGGATATTATAAAATGGCCTTTCTTGGCAGTGACAGATAAAAATCATAATTTGTTACATACCAATAAAGCAACAGAAAGCACTACTATCAACTGGCAAAAATACAGAAAAGATGTGCAGTCAAAATCTGACATATTCAGTAAACTCTCAATGATAATTGTAGTCTTCACTAACTTGATCACTTTTAAACAGTAAAATGACAATAGCATAGTATAAAGTCTAGTTAACACTCCAACGATTATACTAAAAAATAATCACAAAAAATAGAAATCAAAATGCTGAACACAAAGACTCAATCATACATACTACCTCCAAACCCAAACTAGTAAAAACTATACAAAGACAAAGTGTCTGAGTTACAAAACATTATGAACTTAATAATTCAAATCTAACTGGTACTAATTGCAACTGCACACTACTCCACAAAACAACAAAATCACAATGGTCACCACTGTTTGGAGGGTCAGGGGTTAAGAGTCTGAGTTACAAAACATTATGAACTTAATAATTCATCTGAATCAATAACTGGTACCAGGTAATTGCACTGCCCACTGCAGTTCATGGTTTTGTGAATTTTGTTTACACAAAGTTGGCACCACAAGGGCTTAGTTGTATGTGTAAGCAAAATATACTAAAATCACAATGGACATGGCATGTACCTGAAGCCACCAAGGCATCAATGGGTTAAGTAAGCAATCCATACACTAACAAAACTATTATCACCTGTGAAACTGTTACCATCAAGTAAGAAAATCAAAGGCTAAAATTTAAATCATCATTGAAAACTACGATAAGTATATCTTTAATCACGTACATATAATATCTACTTCTAATTTTGTATTCATCTATTCCTCCAAATCTATGTAAATAAAAATTGATATTTATCTTTTTTAGCACAACTTTTAGTAAAGAGTAACTTACTGACATCCAATCCTGGGAAGCAATAGAGATAAATGGAATAAACTCAATATTAAAATAAAACTAACCATGATGCATTTTCTTTCTTCATTTCTGAACAGCATTCCCATACTTTTAGCAAGTGTAAGTCTAATATTTTTGTAAACTGAATAACTTTACTTGTTTTTCATGCAGCTTATTGAATCATAACATGCTGTAGTAAGTATAGCACTTTCACTGATAGCTATATGCTGGTAGCATAAAATGGCCATTATTTCCAAGACCTTCAAAATTGTCAAAAATAAAACTGCAATCAGAGCAAACATGATACCAACAATGTAAAAATAACCATGCATCTATACAGCATATACTCTGCCGAATATAACTTCATTTAAACTTTATAAAACCTATAGCTGACTGCAATTAATCCATTGACATCATATGAATACAATCAAAGCCACTGTGGTTCTGTTTCAGTAATTTTGTTACGCAAAGATGGCTCCAGAAGCACTTAGTCTTGAAGCAATCTGATTGCTAAACCTGCTTCACCTCACAGATTACCCTATTGTATGAATTTTTAGTAAGAAAAGTTCTTGTTTTTATTACTTTATTACAGCTAATAATCATACTGTAAAGATAATAATATTTCAGATAATGATGATAATAGTAATAGAAATAAAAACTGTTTACAACAAAAATTCAAGGGCTGATGTAAACAGGCATTATCAGATGGTACACAGATTCATTGGGGACTAAATGCCTGTTAAGTCACCTGTGCGCAAACAAAATTAATAAAATAAAGCCACATTGGACAGCTACAAATTGCCTATGGGTTAAATCACAGACTAATCACATAATCACAGTTATGATCAAGCATCTAGGCAAATTCAATATACATAATTCTGGCTTTCAAAACATATGATATTACATAAAAATGGATTAATATCCCAGTATTCTTACTCATGTAAATGCAAATATTTCAGATATTCACTTAAATTTAGAACATCAAATAAAGCTATCACTTTAATTCTAATAAATTTGATAAACCTGTCTCCTAATCTTTAACATCAATAAATTTTCTACTATAAAAAAATGAATTCCTTTACAAGCACAAAAAGAGAAAAAGTATAATAAATTACACTAAGTTACAGAATATAAACACTGCATTACATCATGAAAAACTCTGAACTCCACAGCATAATACAAAAAAAAAAATGGTGCAATTAATTAAAAAGGGACAAGATAAAACTACTACTTACATCATCGACTATGATTGAGTTGAATTCTGATGCATCATCACGCACCAATTCTGTTGGCGCATCACTTGCCCCACTCAAGTTGCTCACATTACTGGCTGTTCTCTGTGTGCCAGATAAGTTTTGTATTTACTGCACTAAGTATCAAAAGGGAAATATGTTTTGTATATAAATATTGGTAAAGAATTCTCAATACTGCAAATTCAAGAACATATGCAAATGGTTTCTGTATTCATAGAATCATCTCAATTTCCAAAGGCTAAACTCAAGAGAACAATCACAAAAATTGATGTACAAATGCCAGTCCTTCTCAATGCCTCTTGCAACCTAACCAACCACATACAAAGGAGCACATCAAACCTTGTGCGAGTTGCCACCCGTCATTTTTGCCATCTGTTCCTCTAGCTGTTCATTCTTCTGCTCCAGACGGTTGAACTCCTTCAACAGCCGCTGGTATGAGGATTTCTCTTCAGAGTACTCCATGATCATTTGCTGCTTCTCAGCCTCGTACTTGCGTTTCAGCAGCTCTGTTAGTAAAAATCTTTGTTAACAAATATACAAAGAGTGAAAAAATCAAATACATAATTTGAGTTTCTCTTCATTTGCTTTCAAGACAAATGTAACATTAAGGAAAAAGAAAAATTATGATGATCATAATTGTTATCATAATAACCATCATTATCATTATAGTAATAAATACTATAAAATATTCTATAGACTAATAACAATAAATAATATCACATGATAATCATTACAAACAATAACCCTAGTAAAACACAAACCTTCCCCTTCTTTCTTGGCCTCTTCCTTCTTGGCATTCATTAGTTCCTCAGTAAGCTTGGCATTTTCTGCATTGAGCTTTTCGACTAATTCACGGTTCTCCTTCTCCGCTCTTTCCTTTTCAGAAAGGACATCCATCTTCTCACCTCTCTCAGCCTAAGAAAGGGAAAGAGATTAGATGTGATTCAATTTGATGTTTGAGGATATGCTTTTAGCTATTGTCTAAATGTTTGACCCTTTATGGCTTATACTTACCTATTCTCAACTCTGCATTGTCCAATCACAATTAATCCTTTTTTGACTTTATAAAATTTTAACTTCAACTTTTTGTTTTCATAATAATTCTAAATAAATATTAATCCTTACCACCTCATTTCATCTTTCATCTAGTCAATTCTAAATAGCTTCTCCTATATCTAATGTTTATTTGTCAATGCTTAGGTCTTACTATAAATAACCAAGTAAATCCTGGTTCTGGATTTAAACTGCTCCAGCATCCAGATCTGCCCCTTTGTAACCAATCAATACAACTCAATGAGACTCCTTTGAATGAGTGACCAAATCTCACCTCAACCTCTTGTGTCAACTTGGCTACCATCGCCTCAAGTTCACTGACACGATTACTAGAGTTCTTTAGCTGTGTCTCCACTCCCTTCATCTCAGACAGCTGCTCCTTTAGGGTAACAATCTCCTCCTTGTATGTCTTGACGTTGCCCACTTCCAATTTCTGGGGGAAAATGCAGTTGTTGATACATTTTCATGGTTGGATTTAAATAAGGCTTGTCTTTGAAAACCATATACAAAGCTCACATTATTTTAATCATCTTTATAAATATGTAGAAGCAAGAAGATTATTGTTTAAACAAACTAAATAAAAAGCAACTCACAGCCTCCGTGAGTTTTTGCTGCAGAGAGATGATTTTGTTTTCGAGACCCTTGTTGAGCTTCCTCTGGTGCTCCACCGACCTGGCTTCAATCTTCAGCTTCTTCAGCTGTTTCTTGGCCAGGAAGCAACGGACCAGACCCTGCAGAGTGATCATGCCTCTCATGGCCATCTTGTAGTGGTAGACAGCCTGCCACATTCGCACATTCTTCTGTATAATAATAGCCTGTGGGGTGCAAAGCATTAGAATGAGATCAATTTTGTGTTGCAGATTCTATGTCATTCATAACTTTACATTTTAAATGGACTTTCATCACCTATATCACCATGCTTATATATTGGTTACACTTGTATGACTAAAAAATACAGCTTAACACTGCCTGAGTTAAAAAGTAAAACTTTTCTTTTATATCTTCAGAAAACTAACCCTGACAGTAACTGAGGTTCAACTCTACTCACAGCTCTGACTCTGCGCATGTGCTGGTATTTCTCTCTAGCCCAAGCACCTCTTGCATGTGCCTGCAACTGAGTGACTGTATAAACCAGCCTCTTGTACTGTACCCGCTTGACCCATCCTCGAATAGCTGCCTGAATCTTAATAGCTGCCGCAGTTCTTCGGATGTGATGCACATGTCTGGAAATGGGCAAGGAAAAGTCATAGAACAGTTGGTCTCAAAATGAATCTTTTAGAGTTCTTCATAAAAGGCAATTTCTGTAAAGTCAATCTAGTGAAAAAAAACAAGACTAGCATAATATCATTAACAAAAAAAGTTAATGAAAATACATATAACAGAACATGCAGAGCACTTCTTCTAAAATAAAAACAAGAAAAACAAAGAAATGATAACTTAGATATAGCTTGTATAGTTTCAGAAAAAACACACCATACCTTAAAGAAAATGTTTTCTTCTATGTCCCTACAGATCAAAATATTTCAAAGGGTTTTCACAAGACACTATTACCAACCTTCGTGCCTTGAGCCCTCTGGTATATTTCTGGATGGTAACAGCTGCCTTGCGCATGGTCCTGTAGCGGTTGCGGTGGAGGAACATCCGCACGTGTTTCTGGATCATGACACCACATGCTGACAGACGGTCTGCTCGAAGCTTCTCCATGTAGGCCACCTGGCCTGCCCGGAAGAAGATCTTCGTGCGGCCAAATTTGAACTTGTCTTCATCCTGATAATAAAGGTAACAATAGTAATGATATCAATGGTAATACTGATCATAATGAAAATTTAAAAAAATTATAATGCTAATAACAATGATGATAAAAAAATTTAAACTAAAACCATAATAATAATAATAATAAAACAAATTCAATGATAATAAAAATAGCTACTAAACCAAGAATAAAGACTTAAAGGAAAACAAAAGCAACTTTAGTAACACCCAAAAATAACTAACACACTTCTTTGGAAAATTAATTAACTGAATCAACAAAGTTTGCAACTTACGTTGATCATATTGCCAATGATCTTTTCACAGGTTAGACGCATGTCATTCCTCTTAATGTCTTTGGAATTACATAGGACACGATAACGACAGAAGAATTCATTATAAGTCCATCTGCAAGTAAAACAGTATTTTGGTCAAAATAGGTGTACTTAAATGCATCCTCCCCCACCCCACACACCCATCCCCACCTCACACACAGACATGTATATAAACATTTACTTAATTATTCAATCATGTGTATCTAACAGACATAAGATGGCAATTATCATCTAAAATAGCGGCAATAAGCACAGAAGAAACACCATATTAAATTCTCAATATTGCCAACCTTTAGGGGTAAACATCTCCAAATTACATAAGAGCTTTATAACAAACCCCCTTTTAACCACCTTATAACCAACATAAGCCAAAAGACCCCAACCCCAAGTGAATGAAAAAAACAATTCTCGTGTAACTCACCGTGAGGGATATCCTGCAGCACTAATTCTCACAGTCTCAAGGACACCACAAGCCCTTAGCTGCTGGATGGCTCGGGTCGGGTCGAATGTGAAAGCCATCTTTTCATCGTTAGGTTTAATGCACCGCACATAGTGAGGTGTCGTTGAGTTAAGCGTCATCATCAACAGGTTCAGGGAATCACGGAACTGAGACCCAACCTACAGATAGAGGTCATTTTTAAGATACAACTCGTATATTTGAAAATAACAACATATATAATGCAACACTGATGACAATAATGAGGATGATTATGGTAATAAGATAATGGCTACATTAATAAATGAAAAATAATAATAATGAAAACACTTACAGTTTTCTTCATCTGTTTGGACTTCGACCCAGTGGGCAGGACCTTCACTTTGGTAGGAGGGGCTCCTTTTTCCTTCTCCGTGAACAGAGAATGAACTAAAGCAATCTGCAACACATGATAAAGTGACAAAGCTTATAACCATATCAAAATAACCTGACACAGATTTGTTATAGACTGTCTGACATGGATTAAAGCAAGAACAAATTATTACTTACTAAAATTCTATACTTTATTTAGGTTATCATCTTATTTATCTAAGACTGG